TTCCATTTTTATAAAATCTTAATAATTTATTTTTTTTACTTTTAATGGTAGAGATTTATTTATATTTTATTATATTTATTAAATATAATTCTTTTATTTTAAAAATTATAATAAATCTCAACTACTAAAAGTAAAAAAATAAATAATTAAAATTTATGTAATTATAATTTCTAAATTTTATATAAAAATGAATCACTATTCAAAAATAAAAGTATAATTGTTATGTACATACCTTAAAGTCGTTAGAGACAACGGAATAGTACCCACCCGGCGGGGTCAGTTTGATATTCAAAAAGTAAAGTATGGGAGCCGAAGAGGCCAATGCTCCCACGGCAATATGAGGGTATTTTAGCCGAAACCATGCAGCAAGCACTAATAATTAATTAATTCAATAAAAAAAATAAGTTAGATATACAAATAAAATAAAATAAAATCTGTTACGAAAGTGAATATAAGAAGTCAGTTAATTACTTCCTCCATATGATGCGCCGATGACTATCACCGGAGACTGTTGGGCATGCAATTTTTTCTTTATATGTAATAGAATTTCCGCATAATCTGCTATGGCTTGCGCTGAGTTGAAATAACCGAAAGTGCTCGCATTCCTCATTGCTTCTTCTCTTGATCCGAATGGAATTGATTGTCCGTAGTAACGATGCTGATTTTAATTTACATATTGAATTATAAATCAAATTCTATAAACAATAACATAAGTAAAAGTGTTACTTTTTAGTTGAAATGGGCTTTGAATCCTCGATCCGAGTAATCCTACCGTGTATTAAAAGGTGATAGACCCATTAGATATGTTTGTTTTTCTTCTTATTATTAGGTTAAATGTCAATTTTGATCCATCAACTTAAGGTTTTGTACAATTTTCATCCCTCAACTAATTTTGTATTTTTTTAGTTTTTCAGTTAATTAATCCGTTAAATTTATTTAAATATGCATATTTTTAGTCTTTTAAATTTTAATAAATACACATTTTTTGTCCTTCAGCTTTAAATTGAGGGATTAAAATTGTGCAAATTTAAATAAATTTAATGGATTAATTGACGAATACTTAAAAAATGTATTTTTTATAGTTAAGAAATAAAAAAATATAAAAAAAAGTTTGAGGGTTGAAATTTTTTTAAACTTTTAAATTTGGGGACCCAAATTTACTTTTAACCTTATTATTGTTATTATTGAAATTGAAAATGAAAAAAATTTAAACTCATAAACATAATTGAAAGCCTTGATATTTTTAAGATAGAATATTATGATTTTTTTAAGAAAAAAATCAATACTTTACTTTTACCTCAATATATATTTGGAGAGCCTTGAACCCGCGGGCATTGTCATTTAAAAATCCAACAACCCGGAGATCATCGTCGATGCTCTCTTCCGCTCCGAGATACGCTAGAATGGGTGCATTTGGTCCGCCCCAATACTTGAAATTCATCACGTATCTTTGTTTGAATTTGATGTAACTTTGAGGCTTATAATTGAAGTGATCGAGCGTCTGGTTGTAGTAAAATGTCTGCAGATCTTCGGAGAGTGGCGCTGATAAAATCTCAGGATGTTTCAGGGTGACTCCCCTGATCGTACTCAACCTCGGGGTTCTGCGCTGGATAGCGGCTACCGAAGAGACTGCTAGAAGTATGGTAATGGAAAATATTTGAAGACATTGTAACAAAAACGACGGAGATTTCATCTCAGCTGGTTTATATGTGTATTTTTGCATGAGACTTTGCAGAGGATCTATGCTTATATAGCACAAGGTTGTATTATAGCCTTCTACTCAAAGAAGTTATGCGCAAGAATTTTTTTTTTTTTTAATAATTTACAATACATAAATATTTATATTCCGGTGCGTATTGACCAAACAACAGACTTCGGTTTCATAATTTTTTTTTTAAATGATTAAGTGCTTTAGAGTTAAGTCACATATTTTGAGATTAATCCATTTTTTAAGTGATTTAAATAGTACACTCCTGGATGCATTTAAAGAAACTGAAATCCCTTAAGGACTAAACTTAAAATTTAACTTATGATATCTTAACCATGAGGTTAAGGTTTTATTGTTATTGAATTAGTGACGCAGACACAGCAGTCGCTGGTACGGCATTCCGTTGGCGGCTGGCCTTCTAGCTCACAAAGTTAGAAAATTAAGAAAAATTGTAATTGCACCAGACTCGAAGTCTTTATTCAGTCCGAGTCTCCACTTAGGATGAATCTGCAAAGCTCCGAGGTGGGTTTTCGGGGTAGACACTCCGATACTTAAATCAACAATAATCGGATCTACTTTTATAATAATGAAAAAAGAAGCTTTAAGTCGATTTCAATTACCTTTTTGAAGTGATTCTGAGGTTATTTATAAGCCTTAATGAGGTGTCCACGTGGTTTGTTTAACAAGATAATCAGAGTGTGATGTGTCTCTTCAGGCGATAATTTCGAGACCGAAAAATTATGTATGATAAATCAGGTGTGAGCAGGTTCACTGTATTTATCATGCAACCATTTGACTGGGAAGTGTTAGATTTAACTTCATTTCGGTTATTAAGGAACTGTAGTAGTACGTCCGAGGTTAAGGATCTTGGACATATTCTTACAAAAATGTATAGTAAGTTTTTTTTTTTTGGATAAAAAATGTAGTAAGTTAATTATACATTAGTATTAGTAATTTTTATTGGACATATTTTAAAGTTTTTGTCAAACTATGTGTATAATTAAATTTGGGAAAATTAATATTAACTTAAAACACAAATGTGCTACTCGTACAAGACATTTAATTTGTAATTCAAGCTAGATGGGCATGCAAGGAAAGAACTATGTTAATGTACATATGTGAGCGGAGTAAATCAACGAGGATTAGTTTTTGATATTAGGAGTGTATTAATTATATTATTTTTTTTTGTCAATTATTATAAAAAATAAAAATTAATTTTAATTTTATTAATCATTAAGTAAAAAGCAGACACATATTATTTGTGTTAAAAATGAAATTAATTTTGATATTTTTTTATACAAATTAGTAATAAAAATTATAATTAATGCATTCTTCACCTCACAAACCCATTGTTTTTTAATGTTGAGAAAAATTTAGAGATAGAAGTAACGACATGGAAATGGAGACTTTAATTTTGGAAGCGGCATTTACCTTGCTTGCCTTAAAATTATAGTAGTCCATTAAATGATCCGGTTTTGACTCGGTTTGCATATCGTCCAAAGGAAGTAACGAACGTCATGAAGAGCAAGGGAATGTTTTTGGCAATGAAAGAGAATGACATTAGATTTCGTTTGACAAAATGATATAAATTATAATACTACATAATATTATAAATTTACAATAATCATAATATATTATTAATTTTTTATTTAAAATTTTATTAATTATATAACATTCATTTATTAATTTAATAATATATCATAATTATAAACTTGTAATTTACATGTCAATATTTATTGTTATACGATTGTGGTTCTTTCAATTGGCAATGTACGCCCAATAATAGTTTCCCTATACATTAGCAGGTGCGAAACCCACATTTTCCTGGTCAATTAAATAAAAGAAAATGAGGCAAGATACCTAAGAAGAAAATAGAAAACGCCTCCCAAGCAATGACTCAACTAATTAAAATTTTAAGATTTTAAATTAACAATTTTAAATTTAAATATTAAATTGGATGAGATAGAGTTTAAGAAAATAAAAAAACTATCTACTCTTATATCACTTATTAAAAAAAATTCCAATTTATTGTTTTGAGAGGAGATTCCCTCTTCATTTAATGTAAAGTTAGCTTTACATCTCACCCAGGTGAAAAAGCTACTTCAAAATCCGTGTGCATCAAGGCAATTTTTAAAAGTCTATAATACCCTTCCAGCCAATATGCTTAGAATTATAATCAACTAAATACAGAATCTAATAAACTCTATTTTAACTTAGTTTACAAGCAAACTTAAATAATTTGACAATTTTATATTTTCTTGAGATGCATTATGAAAGAGATTTGCATGATGGTAAGGTAAAGAGACTTTTTTTTATATATACATGTTTGTTTGTGTGATATGTACAAGCATTAACTGGATCTGTTTTCATTGATTTCAATTCATTAAAACAAGCTTGATTTTATTACAATTTTGATAAGTTAACAAGAGTTTAGAGAAAAAGATTTTTGTTTTTTTACTAAACCTCCAAATATCTAAAAGTTGTATTGGATTATGATTAATTTGAAGTCAAGTTAGCTTAGACCCAATAAAAAAAATCTTTTTTAGCACCTATCTCTCTATTGATAAAATTCAAACTTGAGATTTTACTTAATAATTTATTTTTGCATAAAAAGATTTACCTTAGACACTGGAGAAGTAGTCCATTTATTTTTCTGTTTTCCTTTGATTAGATTAACAATTTCCATTTCTCCTTTCATGTCTTGCCTGCAAAGTGACGGATGCACCAAAATCAAGTTTTTTTTGCTTCCGTAACTAATTTTTGCAAATCCAACTATGTTTTATTTGAAGGGAAAAAAAAAAAAAAACTAAGTTTGATTGTTGGTTCGATCTACATTTTTTTCACATGCTATTATTCTTGGAAATTTTGGTTGATTGGCGTACAAGAATGGACAAGGGTTTCCGAGAATTAATTGATGAACAAGGAGAAAAAGGGGCTGTTTGTGTTTGTACAGATCACAATGGTTTTTTTTTCTCAACTAAATAAGGGTATAAAAGACATTTAGTAAATCAATTATCCTAAATAATTAAATTTTAAATGCAGTTATAATAAACCTGAATGAGTATTTTCACTTATAATAGATATAAATTTAAACTTTCATTGAATGAAGAGAAGAATTCTCATTAAAACACTAAATAAGAATTTACTTATTTGATAGTATTTCAAAAAAAAAAAAAGAAAAAAAAAGAAAAGAAAACTAAGAAAAGGTTCTGTTTTGGTCCAATGCATGGGCTGCGAAACCAGAAACTGGAATCTGGGTTTTGGGTTATAAATCTTATGGTGCCAAAAGTCCAATATAAAAACTATATATTGGCATATGAAGGTATATTAAAACAAAACTAAAAAAATTTATATCATTTTAATATTGTGTGTTTTCACCTGTTTAGATTTATAAATTATATAATTTTATTATTCTATAAAATCTTGAACCTTATTCAAAAAAATCACTTTATATTCAGATTATGTATTCATATTATTTGTTCACACT